CTTCCAAGTTTTAGGAATGAGTCAAGTGAAATTTCTAGAACGTTTAAGATAATTATATTCTATGTAACATAACAAAAATCTAACAAGTTTAGAAATAAGAAAAAGTCATGTCGGAATGTTTGTGTCAATTAATCTAGGCATGAAACTTTTAAAAAAGGTTAAATTAATTTTGTTATCAATGCGTATGTTGGTTTACAGGTTGAATTCATGAAAATACGTCTCAAATAATGTTGTCTAATATTGAATTATTGAAATAATATGCTCCGAAATTCGATGATGCTCAGTGGTCTATGGGAGAAAGGTTCCAATTCGAGTGACTCTGGTTCGGTTCTCAAGCTTTAGGTCACGGATGCGCACTGTTGAGTAATCGCACATTAACATGGGATGATCGTTCAGTGCTTCCAGGTCTTCAATAATGCTTAAACTAAGATCATTCCATGATTCTAACTATCAAGCCAAATTTGTCAAACAGTACCTTCACCAAATGTCAATTGTCTAGAAGTAGGGATGACAAATATACAAGGCAAATTATGTAATCGTTCTCCATTCTATACCATTTTCGTTTACCATCTTGTGGGTCGATTTCTTCACATCGTGTATTGATAATCATATTCATCTAATCAGTTCCACTTGCCAAAAACTAGTTAACACAAGAACCTCTAGTTATTTTAAATTATTTCTTTACAAAGGTCATCAATTCATTTAGATAAATTAGGTGGTGTTTATTATATAATTTCAATATTTCATTAAGTGTAACTGAAAGAATGAATGTTACAAAAATATTTTGATGAAAAGAATCCTTTAAATAAGCGTTTAACTAATTAGACAAAAGTAAATAGTAAACATACATATCACATAGTATATACTAATTGATTACCACTTGACTCTTGAATTATCACAAATTATCTACGTATTGTATACAATTCAGCTATTGATTTTATCGATAATATTTTACAGTGAAGTCCAAAGTGCGTCACAAGACAAGCCCTCACTTGAAGTCCTCAAGGTCAAAGGAAAAGAGAAAAGCCAAAAAACGCACCACTCTGAAAAATAGAGAAAGTTATGAGAAGAATGGTGAAAAATTGAATAGAACTGGAAAAGGAAACCGAAGACAGAGAAGGTTGGAGAATACTGGTTGGCGGCCTATACTCCATTGTGGGTGACAGACGTGAGTAAGTAAACAAGTACTTTAGAGGAATTCTCTGATACTTTTAGTGATGGATTTTGTCTATTTGACATCTGATGAGTATATGTGTATGAGTATGCTTGTTAGCATATCAAGTATCATTATTAATGAATGAGTGTTTGTTTTGTTTACTTTGCAACATTTTCGAATAAAGTTTTGTCTTGTTGAACAAAGACATACCATTGGTCAACAAATGACTTCATCTTCTACTTCTACCTTTTCATTCAAGTAGTCGATTTGGCAGGTTAGCTCGAGTTGTGATCAGATCTCTGAACTGGCCCAACATAACAAGCTTATTTACACTTCCTAAGAATTTTCAGTGTCTTTGGTTTTCGCTGTTTTTATCATACTTGGTGATGATCATGTTGGTCCGTCTAGTAGTAGGTGGTTGATAATCACATATTCATTTTTAGTTAGGAATTACTCAATTACTAACATATGCATCCTTCTCGAAAAGCTTAAAATATCCTTTCATATGACGACTCTGTCATAAATTAACCGGACACTGCCTTCTTCTGAGATTTTCGTATCAATACTAAAACTGAAGCATAAAGGATATTTAGATTCTTTTATTTTTCTTATATAATGGCTAATAACAGATGTAAAGAAAAAAGCCAAATATCACGCCATTAAGTGAAATATACTTTTAATACTCATTAGTTTGTAATAAAGATACATATTCATTACAACTAATTAGTATCAAATTGATAAAATATATTGCGACTGACCGATTCCCGAATGTTCAAAGACCAAAAACACATATGATCATTATTTGTAAACAACCATCTTGGTTATCATTCGATTACATCTCTGATAACATATATATATTTTAAATATTAATTAATCCAAAGATCAGGTATTATCTACAAAACTGATAACGTTCATATAGTTAATATCTAGTTCATTTTAACTCCATATTTGTTGATGTGTATATTTCATACAAACAGTTCCTTATCTGCAAAACTTAAAAACAACAAAAACAACCTTTATTTGTTGATTTATGACGAAATTACCACATTTTGTCAACAGTTTCTTTTGGTTGCATACAAACTAATTAGTCTGGTTCGTTTGAAATATATTCATATAAGTTAGAATGTGAAATAGTGACCTGAACAGTAATAATAATGACCATAAGATGTCTGGAAAATAAATGCTGTTAGAAGTCAGTGTTATAATGGCGTTTTATGAATGAGTCAAGTGAAATTTCTAGAACATTTCATATAATTATATTCTATGTAGAATAACAGAAATCTAACAAGTTTATAACTAAGAAGAAGAAGTCATGTCGGAATGTTTTCTTCAATTAATCGAGGTACGAAACTTAAAAAAAGATTAAATTTACTTTGTTATCAATGCGTATGTAGGTTTAGAAGTTGAAGTCATAAAAATACGTCTAGAATAATGTTGTCTAATTTTGAATTATTGAAATAATATGCTCCGAAATTCGATGATGCTCAGTAATCTATGGGTTAAAGGTTCGAATTCGAGTAGCTCCGGTTCGGTTCTCATGCTTTAGGTTGCGAATTCATGCTATTTAGTAGTAACATACTACGACTGGACGGTCGTTTAGTGCTTTCATGTCTTCAATAATGCTTAAACTAAGATCATTCCTTGTTTCCAAATATCAAGCCAAATTTGTCATAAAGTACCTTCACCAAATGTCAATTGTCTAGTCGTAGGGATGACAAATATACAAGACAAATTATGTCATAGTTCTTCATTCTATACCATTTTCGTTTACCATCTTGTGGGTCGCTTTCTTCCCTATCGTGTATTCATAATCTTATTCATCTAATCAGTTCCACTTCCAAAAACTAGTTTTCACATGAACCTCTAGTTATTTTATATTATTTCTTTACAAAGATTACCAATTCATTTAGATAAATTAGGTGGTGTTTCTTATATAATTCAGTTATCAGAAATTATCTACGTATTGTATACAATTCTGCTATTTATATTATCGATAATATTTTACAGTAAAGTCCAAAGTGCGTCACGAGACAAGCCCTCACATAGAATTCTCAAGGTCAAAGGAAAAGAGGAAAGCCAAAAAACGCATCACTCTGAAAAAAAAAGAAAGATATGAGAAGAATGGTGAAAAATTGAACAGAATTGGAAAAGGAAACTGAAGACAGAGAAGGTTGGAGAACACTGGTTGGCGTCCTATGCTCCCTTGTGAGTGACAAACGCGTGTAAGTAAGCAATTACTTCAGAAGAATTCTCTTATACTTTTAATGATGGATTTTGTCTGTTTGACATCTGATGAGTATATGTGTATGAGTATGCTTGTTATCATATCAAGTATCATTATTAATGAATGAGTGTTTGTTTTGTTTACTTTGCAACATTTTCGAATAAAGTTTTGTCTTGTTGAACAAAGACATACCATTGGTCAACAAATGACTTCATCTTCTTCTTCTACCTTTTCATTCAAGTAGTCGATTTGGCAGGTTAGTTCGTGTTGTGATCAGATCTCTGGACTGGCCCAACATAAAAAGCTTATTTACACTTCCTAAGAATTTTCAGTGTCTTTGATTTTCGCTGTTTTTATCATACTTGGTAATGATCATGTTGGTCAGTCTAGTAGTAGGTGGTTGATAATCACACATTCGTTTTCAGTTAGGAACTATTCACTACTAACATATGCATCCTTCTCAAAGTTAATCGAAAAGCTTAAAATATCCTTTCATATGAAGACTCTGTCATAAATTAACCGGACACTGCCTTCTTCTGAGATTTGCGTATCAATACTAAAACTGACACATAAAGGATATTTAGATTCTTTTTTTTTTCATATAATGGCTAAGAACAGATGTGAAGAAAAAAGCCAAATGTCGCGCCATTAAGTGAAATATACTTTTAATACTCATTAGTTTGTAATAAAGATACATATTCATTACAACTAATTAGTACATTGCGACTGACCGATTCCCGACTGTTCAAAGACCAAAAACACATATGATCATTATTTGTAAACAACCATCTTGGTTATCATTCGATTACATCTCTGATAACATATATATATTTTAAATATTAATTAATCCAAAGATCAGGCATTATCTACAAAACTGATAACGTTCATATAGTTAATATCTAGTTCATTTTAACTCCATATTTGTTGATGTGTATATTTCATACAAACAGTTCCTTATCTGCAAAACTTAAAAACAACAAAAACAACCTTTATTTGTTGATTTATGACGAAATTACCACATTTTGTCAACAGTTTCTTTTGGTTGCATACAAACTAATTAGTCTGGTTCGTTTGAAATATATTCATATAAGTTAGAATCTGAAATAGTGACCTGAACAGTAATAATAATGACCATAAGATGTCTGGAAAATAAATGCTGTTAGAAGTCAGTGTTATAATAGAGTTTTATGAGGGTTTCAAGTGAAATTTCTAAAACATTTCATATAATTATATTCTATGTAGAATAACAAAAATCTAACAAGTTTATAACTAAGAAGAAGAAGTCATGTCGGAATATTTTTGTCAATTAATCTAGGCATGAAACTTTAAAAAAAGGCTAAATTTATGTATCATTCAGTTTCAGAGCATATTAAGTTATGTTGTTGATATGTTGGGCCAGTTCAGAGATCTGATCACAACACGAACTAACCTGCCAAATCGACTACTTGAATGTAAAGGTAGAAGTAGAAGATGAAGTCATTTGTTGACCAATGGTATGTCTTTGTTCAACAGGACAAAACTTTATTCGAAAATGTTGCAAAGTAAACAAAACAAACACTCATTCATTAATAATGATACTTGATATGATAACAAGCATACTCATACACACAAACTCATCAGATGTCAAATGGACAAAATCCATCATTAAAAGTATCAGAGAATTCCTCTAAAGTACTTGTTTACTTACTCACGTCTGTCACCCACAATGGAGCATAGGCCGCCAACCAGTGTTCTCCAACCTACTCTGTCTTCGGTTTCCTTTTCCAATTCTGTTCAATTTTTCACCATTCTTCTCATAACTTTCACTATTTCTCAGAGTGGTGCGGTTTTTGGCTTTTCTCTTTTCCTTTGACCTTGAGGACTTCAAGTGAGGGCTTGTCTTGTGACGCACTTTGGACTTCACTGTAAAATATTATCGATAAAATCAATCGCTGAATTGTATACAATACGTAGAGAATTTGTGATAATTCAAGAGTTAAATGGTAATCAAATAGTGTATACTATGTGATATGTATGTTTACTATTTACTTTTGTCTAATTAGTTAAACGCTTATTTAAAGGATTCTTTTCATCAAAATATTTTTGTAACATTCATTCTTTCAGTTACACTTAATGAAATATTGGAATTATATAATAAACACCACCTAATTTATCTAAATGAATTGATGACCTTTGTAAAGAAATAATATAAAATAACTAGAGGTTCTTGTGAAAACTATTTTTTGGCAAGTGGAACTGATTAGATGAATAAGATTATGAATACACGATGTGAAGAAATCGACCCACAAGTTGGTAAACGAAAATGGTATAGAATGGAGAACGATTATATAATTTACCTTCTATATTTGTCATCCCTACTCCTAGACAATCGATATTTTGTGAAGGTACTGTTTGACAAATTTGGCTTGATAGTTAGAATCAAGGAGTGATCTTAGTTTAAGCATTAGTGAATACCTGGACGCACTAAACGATCATCCCATGTTAATGTGCGATTACTCAACAGTGCTCATCCGCGACCTAAAGCTTGAGAACCGAACCAGAGTCACTTGAATTCTAATCTTTATCCCATAGACCACTGGGTGGGCATCCAAAAGTGTAACTGAATATTTTCAATTAATCCATCATTCTACGCAATTTTTTATACACTGCCTACGACGGATAAATTTCTCACACCTGGATTTGATCCACTAGTGCGGACTCGTGGTTGCGCATTTCTGAGGGCTCCCACACATAGATGAGTCAGTAGTCTGGTTGTCCTGGGTTTTCAATGGTGGGTTAACTAAGGTCTGTTCCTGATTTTGACTGTGAAAATCATACAATCTACCTTTCGAATTTAGTTTGGTCAGTTATAGTTCATCACTGCAAAAATGAAGATATTGTCCGAACTTAATACCTACAGAATTCATCGATCCCTCTAGTCTATTTTTGGCATTAATTTTAATGACACAATGAAGTTCAAAGTAAAATTCAACGCTGGAATGTTAAAAACAAAAAACATTCTGGACTTAAACCATCCCATCGATGAAATGAATACTAGGAACATAAATTTCTCAAATATATATTTCAATTGCAAATTAGCCCACTGAACTCTTATCACTGGTTTACTAAATGTATTTACACACTTGACTATGATTGGTTATGTCTGTGTGTGTTTGTTTGACCTTCATTTGGATATAATATAATAATACATTGAACCAGCTCTCAAATTGTATACGACAAGCCAATAGTTGTAGTCAAATAACCATGAACCATAAATAAAATCCTTATATATATATTCACAATTCAGATTACAGATTCTTATTTTATGCATATCGCATATCATCCTTCAGAGCTTCAAGTAAGTCAATTTACTACATTTGTAATTTAAGAAAAATCATGATTAAATTATAATTTTTGAAATAAGAATGAATTATTTTGTAATTCAAATACGTCAGAACTTGTTGCCAATTCTTGTATGAACTTATTGTACTGATGAATCATTTAACAAAGCTAACTTTTAATGTAGTTCAGTTTACACTGACTAACTGATGATTGGCAAATCGTGTCATTACTTATTTTTGTATTATTGAATCCTTAATACTGATCACTGCAACAACAAATGCAAGAGAAGACGACCAGTGTAGTAGCAGCCTCTGCAGCAGTAGGTCTCAACATACATAAAGGAAAAAGCAAAATTCTCCAATGCAACACAACATGCACCAAACAAATCACTCTTGATGGAGATGCCTTGGAGGACGTAAACGACTTTACATATCTAGGCAGCATAATCGACAACCAATGTGGATCCGATGCAGATGTGAAGGCGCGGATTGGCAAAGCAAGGGCTGCATTTCTACAGTTGAAAAATATCTCGAACTCCAAACAACTTTCAACCAACACCAAAGTCAGGATTTTCAATACAAATATCTAGACAGTACCACTGTATGGAGTGGAAACTTGGAGAACTACCAAAGCCATCATCCATAAGATACAAGTGTTTATTAACAGTTGTCTTCGCAAAATACTTCGGATTCGTTGGCCAGACACGATCAGCAACAACGTACTGTAGGAGAGGACAAACCAGATTCCAGTCGAGGAGGACACACACTACGAAAAGCACCCAACTGTGTCACAAGACAATCATTCACTTGGAACTCTCAAGGCAAATGGAAAAGAGAAAGGCCAATGAACACATTACTCCGAGAAACAGAGAAACATATGAGAAGAATGAACAAACATCGGACAGAATTGGAAAGGGAAGCCCAGGACAGAGTTGGTTGGAGAAAACTGGTGAGCGGCCTATGCTAGAGTGGGGGTAACAGGCCCAAGAAAATAAATAAGTAATATTGATCACAGTTTGTCATTCAAGTTCCAATCTCTTGACAAGTCCAAATGATGATGGTTTTAATATCATTAACAACTCAGGTAACATGACATCGATTCTTTCCAAAAGATTAATTATTTTAAATATCATAATCTTATTAGAGGTCACTCACAACCCTTACATCTATCTCATTTACAATATCTTTTAATGTGAAATAGATAACTTCATTCATTTAATCTCATTTCATGATGTTTTGGATATCAAAATTAATGTTAGTCTAATATCGACTAACCAATCATATGTATTCATTTCACTTCAGTGAGTCGAAGACATTTTGATCACTTCATCACGAAATTTAATTATTTAATCAGGTGCGCGCGGTACAATGTAACAGTTTTTCTTTTTATTCATTTGACTATTTGAATCATAGATTTATTTTTAACAAAACTTTTGGAAATTATAATTTTGTGAAGTAAGCAATTTATAAAAATTCTAAGTAATCATCATTCAAAATTTGAATTTGTTTGAAATAAATTATATTTTTTGTTATCCAGTGAAATTTTATAAAGTGTTATAGTCATAATTATTTACTATTCAAAAGTAAGTTTGTAACAGGACTTTACTGTAGTTTAAAATATTTTAAAAAAATGAGCTCGGAGAAAAAAAGAATCTTTTTAATACATTTTTGATATCGTCAATCAATCATTGTTAGACCACCAGTAGACATGAACACCGTTGGATGACGGCCCTGTGGTCCAAAGCTCAGGCGTTCGCGCACAATAACGAAGGTCACAGGTTCGAGTACTTCGGGTGTCAGGATTCGTGGATGCGCACTGTCACTGATGAGTCCCATACCAGGAAGAAACGGCTGTCTTTCCGTGCTTCTAGGTTTCTAATGGTGTGGTCTGACAGTGATTGATTGATGATTTTAAAAATATGTAAAAACACTGATCTCCATAATTCTAGTTGAAAAGATCTTTTAATAAAAGCAACATGATTTAATTTATATATCGCCTTAACCCGCATGTTGTTTAAAACTTTCTTTTATTATCAGTTAGCTTTTTGTAGAATATGTTTTAATCTTGTAGGCTTTTAGTTTATATAATGTATTGTACAAACTGATTTAATCCAGATAACAGTTAAAACTAGAAAACACCAGACATATATTTCACTCTAAAACCATTCCCTCACTGATTACTAACTATGACAATAAAGTCCTAGATAGTAGTAATCAGTGAAATCCAATTATATGAGCTTGGAGACAGGTATCCCTGACTGAAATAGATGATAATCACGTGACGTGGTGAGTTGACTAAAGTAAGAAAGGTGAACCATTAATTGCAACTCAGTGGTTTGAAGGATTTGTTTACATTTTCCTCGAGCTCTTTAGTTTCTCGATTGTCGAGCCGTCTACATCAAAACAATTGTTCAACACATCCCTGGTTTTCAGCAGTTGTCAGTGACGTATCACTCTCTGCATCATACTATCTATCGTAAATGTCATTTTCATGCCTGGAATTTTCATTTATCCCGCTGAAAAAGTTCCTTCAGATAAACAAATGATTGTGACTTACTTGATGACTTGTATTTAGAAAAATTTGTGAACAGTAAAACAGTAATTCTAATATGAAATTAAAAGGACGAACAATTAATCGACTCTTGATGTCATTATTCAGAGTTTGTAATTGTCTATCGGTTGTTTGAAATTCCACACTGAGATGAATAATATCTGTGAGTAGTAGTGATCCCGTCTCCTATACATAGCAGAAGTCATAGGAATTTGAACATTCAACCCCAATTTATATGCTCAGAAGAAATTCGTAACACCCTTATCTCTTCCGTGGCTGGATATGACGTAACTAACGTTTTAAAATATCTGTTGGTTTAAATTTGTTTGTGATTTTGTGCCTCTTCCCGTTTATATTATTCTTCACTATCTAATTTATGTACACACTTCTTATTACGTAATGGTGTTAATGTTTTGTAATGATTGATTGATGATTTCAAATGTGTAATAAGATTTAGACAATATTCATCCATGTTTAATAATAATATTTTGATTTAAATCAATCAATACGGCGTTTTGTTGCATAAATTTGTCAGAATTGAAATGTTTAATGTAAAAAAAATATATGAATTTGAATGAGGTACTTTTGACCTAATTATATAGGTAGACTTATTAACAATATATTTAGAAACAAATCATCACACAACATTATTATTATTATTATTATTATTATTATTATTATTATTATTATTATTATTATGTATTTCAACACACCTAATATGAAAGTGACCATTTTTGATTAATTTCTGAGTAATGATCAATATGAAAAGTCCTAATCAATACGTTCAAATGGTTCTAGTCAAAATAACACCACGATCTACTACTCATCAATATGGATTACATGTAATCTGATAAATTTCGGGGCATAGAATATTGATTTAATCTAGTTTGAATATGAGTCACAATGTGCTTGATTCTCAAAAAATGAATGAATGAAATGCATATAAACCAGGATGCTTTGAAGCTAAAACTCTGATATGAATAAAACAGTCGATTTGCTTAAGATAAGATACATTTGGTTAGAGTGGTAAATTGTTTTTTTTTTTACAAAATATGAGATGTTGTTTAACGATGTCGTTTTAATTCAAATTTTGATTGTAATAACTCAGAAACAATATTTACGGATGCTGCCGCAACAATGATTCACATAGTTATGCAACTTTGATTACAAGGATTTTGGGTCAGGTAGTCTTCATGCATAGCATTTCTAACACACTTTACAGTCAGTCATAAATTCGTTTGTAAGGATATCTGGCAATTTATTAATTTTTAAGATGATAAATTCATCAGTAAAACTACTTGCTAGTAAGTTATTAACAGAATATTTAAAACAAACATTACTAACTAACTTATTTATTTACTTACGCTTGTTATCTCAAATAAGCATAGGCCGTCGACCAGTATTCTCTAACCTTATTCTCTCCTGAGCCTTCCTTTCTAGTTCAATCTTGTCATATCTGTGTCCATTTCTTAGCGTAATGTATTCCTTTGGCTTCCTCGTTTCCTTTGTCCTTAAAGATTCCATGTGAGGGCCTGTCTTGTGACGGAGTTCGGTGGTTTCCTCAATGTATGTTCTATCCACTCCCAACGCTTCTTCCTGATTTCTTCATCGACTGGAATCTGGTTTGTTCACTCTCACAGAACAATTTCTAAGCATTTTGAATAAAATCCAAGTATTCCTGTTAAATAGTTCACAAAATTATTGATATGACTGTCCATCATTTGATTTCATAATATAATGTTTTACAGCTCTATGATATGAAGTATCGTTAATTCGAACAACGAGAATCGTACATAAGTTATCATGAATTAACTATGAATCTGTTTTCACTGAATGCTATTTCAAATTCCCCAACATTTTTTACACACATGTTATTTATAGTAGGTTATCCTTTTGTATTTCATATATGTCTACTTACATAACTTTTTGAAGTCACAATACTATGGGGCAAGTGCTGGCTATATCTATCTAATTTTTCACTGGTTCTTTGATTGGTAGTTTCTGAAATGAATTAACGTTTCGTGGTGTATGAATTTGTTTCACATAAACAATAAGTACCTGAGAAAGAAAATCTTGAATTCTGTATCATTTTACACTGATATGACCATAAATACATTAATACATTTTAATTCTTACTCTTTGTTTTAATTACAGATCTTTGTTTTGTTTTTTCACAACTCAATTTATGCACAAATCTTCTTATTCATGTGGACAATTCTTTTCTCAACTGTTAGTATTACACTAGTTGTAGCTTTATTGCTCAGTTTCATCATCTATTTGTTGTATATGCAAAGATCAAGTAAATTACCACCTGGACCAGTTGGTTGGCCTTTAATCGGATATATATCATGTTTGGGTAAGTAAGTAAGTAAGTAAGTAAGTAAGTAAGTAAGTAAGTAAGTAAGTAAGTAAGTAAGTGAGTGAGTGAGTGAGTGAGTGAGTGAGTGAGTGAGTGAGTGAGTGAGTGAGTGAGTGAGTGAGTGAGTGAGTGAGTGAGTGAGTGAGTGAGTAAGTCATAAATGAACTCTAGTTTCTGACATTTATGCATTAAGACTCCAATATTCCCATAAAATTCTTCGAAAATAGATGAAATAACATGAAATGTGTGAATAATATTTTTTTCCAGGGTTTTCATTTGACGTCTTGGCTGGGCGCTTGCGCTTGGTCAAGCTCATGACATCTTCCTCATGGAAAGGTGTACGTTCCGGCTGACCTTGTGGGACAAACTCGATCTTTAGATTTATGTGGGGCCTTCGAGACTCCGATCGATTGTATCAGCGCAAGGCAGTTGGAGGCCAGACGTTTGGAACAGCTTCTGGCTAGTGCACACTGTTTGGGTGGCTCGGTAACCCGCTTCGCGGTGCCAGATCCAGCCGAGTAAGCCCGCCTTGCCGCCCTTGCCGAGTGGGGATTGTGAGTAGTGGTCTGCTTGGAGGGATCTTGTTGATTCATAAGTGCCCGAGTGGGTGCCACTGTTCGTGTGCGTTCTATTTGGACGTCCACCTGTCTGCAGACCAAACTGAACAACATGTATGTTCCCGACTGGGGCAGGGGTGATTACTGTTGGCTACAGTGAGAATCCTTGCGTTGCCTAAAAAGCAACGATGTGCATGTGCAGCAGGCTTATTGGTTAACCATGTCTATATATATATATATATATATATATATATATATATATATATATATATATATATATATATATATATATATATATATAATCATTGAACATTTTCGAAAAGAAATCTAGTTAAATTATTTAGAAAATCACACAATGTGTATGCAGGTTTACTCAATGACTAGGAAACTTATGATGACGTGCAAAACGAGGCATTACAAGCCTATAAAAAATCGAAATAATTCAATCAATATTGGGGATTTTCCTTCGTCTACATAATATTATTTGAATTTAAATCATATGTATATACACACATTCTGGCATAGATTTCATAACTCGACCAAATTCAGTGATATTATTATTATTATTATATTATGGTTATAGCTTAAAACTGTGATTTTTCTGTTTACATTCTGTGCAATCATTCACACACACACTAAAAATTGTATTCAACTCAGGTAATCATGTGAATTAAAAAAAGTACTAAATTCATAGTTCAATACATGCATATTGTTGACCTTTCAATGTCAACATTCTAAACAGTTTTGGCATAAATAAACATAAATAAACTAATGTCGATTATTCGGGGTGGATTATGGATAAGTATACACACAGATATTTTGAAACCATTAATCGATCAATGTTAGACCACCATTAGAAACCTAGAAGCACTGGACGGCCATCAAGTCCTGGTATGCACTCATCAGTGGCAGTGCGCATCCATGACTCCTGCACCTCACAGGATTCGAACTCGGAACCTTTGGTATTGTAGGCGAACGCCTAACCTTCGGACCACTGAGCCGCTATCTAACGGTGTTAATGTCTAATTTGATCAATTCACGGAGTTGCGCAACCTCATACACAGTCTTCTGTAGTTACTGTCTACACACCAACAGGTTGAACTTCACTGGTCTCGTCTTCCCACTAGGTTTCAAAAATATGTAACTTAACAATCTCCACAACCCCTTAATGCATATATATATCTCCATAATTCTAACTGAAAAGATCTTTTTATAAAAGCAACATGATTTAATTTATATATCGCCTTAAACCGTACCTTGTTTAAAACTTTCTTCTAATATCAGCATTAATTTGCTGGCTTTTTGTAGAATATGTTTTAATCTTGTAGGTTTTAGTTTATGTAATGTATTGTACAAACTGATGTAATCCAGACAACAGTTAAAACTAGAAAACACCAGACATATATTTCACTCTAAAACCATTCCCTCACTGATTACCAACTATGTAAACAAAGTCCTAGATAGTAGTACTCAGTGAAGTCCAACCATACCTGCCTTAAGATAGGTACCCCTGACTGAAATAGATGATAATCACGTGACCTAGTGAATTGACTGAACTTAGAAAGTTGGATCATCAAATTTCAACTCAGTGGTTTGAAGGATTTGTTTACATTTGCGTCGAGCTCTTGAATTTCTGAGTTTTATCTCTGGTATCTGTATGTATACAAACTGTCGAGAAGTCTACAACAAAACAGTTGTTTAATGATCCCTGAGTTTTCAGCGGTTGTCAGTGACGTATGACTCTCTACATCATACTATCTATCGTAAATATCATTTTCATGCCAGGAATTTTTATTTATTCCTCTGAACAATTTTCCCAAGATAAACAAATCATCGTGACAAACAAATTTCAGTGGAACTAGTAAGCATTTATTGTTTTGAATTAGATTAATTTTTGCATAAATAATTTGTAACTTCCATTCATTAATAGGTTGAATTTGTTGAGAGTGTGTTTAGTGAATGAAACTGAACATGTTTCGATATATAGGGAGATCATCAACCCACTATTTCAGTAAGCCGATATTTATAAGAAACAATGTACAAGAATTTGTATTAGATAGCATCGTCGTATAGTCAATTATATATCTTTGTTAGGTTCGTCACCAAGTATGCTTGAAACTATTACGGGTTCACTTTAGTCAATAAACTAGGATGAGACAATGGACTAGTGTCCAGGTAGGCTACCCTGAATAGTTGACTAATGAAAAATCTTGATGTAGCGTTGAAAGTATATTCTACAAATACCCAGCAAACACAATGCATTCAAGCACACAAATCTCATTCATTTATACATTATAGAAACGTCTTTGGGACAGTCACAAAAATAACACACAGCCAAAGATTTTACTGGTGAGAAATGAGATCTCAAGGTCAACTGATCAGTCCATGCTCGCAAACATGAAATCCACAATTAAGGCATTTATCAAGCGAGTTCTGGGGATTCAACGTCCACAACAATATTTTTAATTTTTTAGATATATTTATTGAGACAAAATATTTGCATTTCTTGTTGAAGCATTGGTTGTTAACGAAACGGTAGGACAAACAAAACACTTGTTAAGTGAAATGTAATTAAAATTTAATATTCTCTCAACACCTATTCATCAGATTGTGATCTAATGCCTTTTATCACTTATATGTGATGACATTTTTTTATTTCATAGGAAGCTCGATTTATAAATTGAAAATTAGTGGTTTTTGAACTGTAAACTAAGCTAACAAATTACAGAATCTTTAAATGACAATTAGGAAGCTATAGTTTTAAACTCATCCATTACAAATACTCATAACATTATATGGGATTCGATCTTTGGCTTTCTGACTATTTTATGATCGCCATGTCCCATATATTTAAGTTTAATCGTTTCAACCTGTTTTTAAGCTGTAGCTCAGAGTACCGCTGTGACTGAAGTTCGACATTAACGCAGTTAGATACTGGCTCAGTGGTCCAGAAGTTAGGCATTCGCGCACAAGACTGAAGGTTCTGGGCTCGAATCCCGTGAGGTACAGGAGTCATGGATGCACACTGCTGATGAGTCCCATACTGGGACGAAAAGGCTGCGTCCAGTGCTTCCAGGTTTCCAGTGATGGTCTAAGATTAATCGGTTCATGATTTCAAATGTATAACTTAACAATCTTCACAACCCCATAATGCAACGATAGTTCTATCTAAAATTGATGTTGTCAAGTGGTTAAGAACGTTTTTAAACTTAGACGAAACATTTCACCGGCTAGCTCACTTCACTTCATGATGAAAACTCACTTTAAATAGAAAAAAAAATCGGATTGTCTAAATCGATTCATTACTTTCCATTTTTCTTCTTATTTCATAGGTACTAATGCTTTCTATAAAATTCAATGTATGAATAAAATTTATGGTGATATTGTATCATTTCGAGTTTTGGGAAAAACCATCATTATACTATACAACTATGATTTAATACATGAAGCAGCAAATGAGAATCGTTCAAAAATTGGGCGACATACAATGGTTGTAAATGATTTGTTGGCTGAAAATTCAGGTAAACTAATTTGAATAATTATGATATTTATCAAATATCCTAAGAGAATACTTTATGGTAAGTCTAATTCTATTGGTCAGTTCCTATTGGTCAATATTTAGGGTCGTCCTAAACTATCAATGTCATAGACTTCAATGTTGGTTCCTATTCCACCTAACTGTATAAGTATGCATTATCTGTAACGTTATATGACCTGGACCTGGATCCCTAGTCCAGGATCCTTATCCTCTTCTGGACTCGAAACTTATACTTTCTGGATGCTTGTACAGCACAGGTTCTACTTCATTCTTTCAGTCAATGGGGGGCTGTTGGGACAATCGGATTAGAGTAGCTTGTCATGTCTCTTCATCCTCGATCCTCGCTCTCGTTTTCCGACTAAGGTAAACTTGTAATAGTTCAAGCACATCAATTGAAGTGTTCAAGTGCATGCGTAACAATTATACAATACAGTATATCAGGATATGAATAATAATATGTTTTTTTTGGTGATTAATACTGATTAGTTTCATAAATTCTTGTCAGTAAAAACAATGGCATGAAAATCTCACTACTAGTTGGGTTATGAGTTACCCGAATGTTTTATTTTTAAAACTGAATATTCATCGGTTTCTTTGATATATGTACATCATCTGAGTGTATATCGAAACACACACTAAAATGAATCATCAGAGTTCATCTCTGGATATCAACGAAAGTCTGATTCAAACCTAAACTATAAAAACAGTATAAATGTCACCAGTGTTGAAAATATGATAGTGGCATATCTGAAGTCAGATGCTTGAAGAGGAAGGTTCTCTGTCCGATTTATAATGTTTGCAGATACATCCAACTGGCAATTCTCATACACAGAGCAGGGGAGGTGAAACTGAAGTCATAGATTCGACAATTTAGATATCCTAAATAATAACACAAGCAAGAATATCTTGTCTACAATCTGCTTCATTATTTAGTAACTTTGAAATAAAGGTCATCGTTAAGATTTAACTTTATTCTCCTTGAACATATAAGTTTGATGCATTAACACTGTGTTACGCATGCATGTAAACACGTCATGATCCAATGACACGATAGGCTACTCTAACCCAAGCGTCCTAAACCCCATTGAATAGAAGAAGACTTGATGTGAAGTAGAACCGGTATTCTACTAGCATCCATAATGTACGAAGTCCGAGTCCAGAGGAGGCAAAGGATCCCGCACTATGGATCCGGGTCATAAAATATTAAAAAATAATGCTTCTTTATAC